TCAGAGGAAGATAATAAATAGAGCTAGTAAAAAGAAATTTGATGAAGTAGCTAGGGCTGGTTTGGTGGAAGCTCAAGGTGAGTGGAACAGATGACAGAGTGGGAGTGCTTGCGTCGGCAGCACATATACACAATACAATGCAGATCACAAAATAATCACTCAGGTTAAATCAACCTGGATTATAATCTTAACCAGTTATTATACAAAGAATATGTAGCTACATATAATACTGAAGATAAATAAATCAAGCACACCTTCTCAAGTATTTTTTAGTCAAGTATCTCAAATAGAAAATCTTTACCAAATGAATAAAAATATAACCGGAAGGAGTCTGCCTGTACAAACTGAGAAGGAATGAGAGGCTAAGGCGATGGAGAATAGACTACTCTATGACTTAGGAAGTAGGTGTCTAGTATTCCCCTTTGTCTAGAGAGTCAAGCCCAAATTGTTAGCCTAGAGTTCAAGATTCCTTATAACCTGGGATGTCTCTCCAGTTGTACTTTATACTTGTTTCCACCAGACCAATCTCCACATTTGGGCTGTGTGTGGTTTCTTAGTCTAAACCACTTGTCACCTCAGTTGTCTTCCTACACTAATCTCATCAGTCCTTTAAAATCAGGCTCAAGGTCTCCTTCTTTCAAGTAGCACCTTTCCAGATTCACTAATTAGAATTATTTTTTTATTCCTCCAATGCTGTCATAGCACCTTGTTTAACTTCCTTATAGACCTTTATCATTGTGTTCCTCTTATGAGAATTAACAGTATACAAGTCAATTTCCCATTAGATTGCGAACTTCTGGAGGGTAAGAGCCATGATTTATTCGTTCTTTATCTTTTTCACAGCAGGCATTCAATAAATATTTCTTGAGTGGAACTAGAATAAATATACCATCAAGGCATTTATAATTGGGAGTGCCCCACAATTCCAGAGAAATGGCTATTCATTTGGCCTTTCTCTTTCCAGATTTTTGGGGTTATTTTTTAGTGCTGGAAAGAAAATAAAAAGGAATAAAACTAAAAATCTGAAAACAAGCATTCCTAAAACCACACAATGAGGAAAGAGAGGGCATTTACCCGACATCTGGAATAACCGTCCTTTTGGATGCTGAGGGATTTAGAAATGCCCAATGCAGTGACTGGGTCACAATGGCATCTGGATCCTGAATCCTCAAAGCATGAAGGCAAGGCAACTGCAGAACTAGTATTGGAGGCTATCAGAATGAGACAAAGATAGAAATTGCCCCCTAATTGTCATATATCTTTTCATATATGTCATATCCAGACAAATCTGAATTCAAAAAGTCAATATGCGCATTGTACAGTGCTGATAGGGAAATTGAAGAACTTTGATGTGGAAAAGAAAATAAAAGACTTTTTGTCTCTTTGTTGGTGTTTGGGTCAAAGTTTGGGGTCAATTAGAACTACAGGTTCTAATTTTGAGCACACAAGTATTAGATAATTATACCCAATAGCAGCTGATTCTACTTAAGTTCTTCACAATAGCATTATACAGAAAAAGACTATAGGTTTCACAATGTGGAGCTCCCCTTTCAGCTTGAATTATCAGCAGGAAGTGTTTAGACCCACCCAATATTCTCTTGTGGTCTAGTTTATAATAATGCTAATTCAGCATGAGCAAACTCAGCCCCACCCTCTAGTACAGAGCCTGGCACAAACACATGCTCAGGGAATGGTTATGTTTGTAGATTGCCATTAGAGAGTCACAGGCTCCTAAAAGTTAATGTTGCTCCGCACAATTCACTGGCCAAGAAAAACTTGCTGATTTAATGGAGGCAGTTCAAGTACTAGTTAAACACACAGCTTTTACAATAAGATAAACCTGGGTTCAAATTCTAGTTCTTCCATGTACTACCTGTGTGATTCTGGACAAAATCGTTAACTTCCTGTGCTTCATCTGTCACTGGAAGATAATTATCACACCTCCCTCATGGGTTTATAGTGAAGACTAAAGGAAACGATGCACAGAAATCTAATGTATACCAAGTTCCCAAATAAGAATGAGTTAGAATTTGTAGTTTGAGAGAGTCATCATATTACATATCATGGTGAGAATAAAAACTAGTGAGAACTGAACATGTCCAACTAAGCAAGACCTTTAAAGTTGATGAAGCCAAGTCAGAAAATATAGGCCAAAGTTATAGGAAATACCTCATACAAAGGGGAAAAGAAACCACTATCAGACTACTTGTTGGGGCAAACTCTGCAGACTGTTTTTGGAGCTACCTTGAGAGTGATCTAAGGTCAAAATGGACACATGGTGCTTGGGGGTGGAAACAAATGGAGGTCACTTTGATCTCCTTGGAGCATCTGCAAGCCACTGAAATCCTTCTAGTGTAAGAATGCATCAGTAGTTAATACCCCGAATTTAGAGAAAATTTTAAAAATGTGAAGACAGTGAACGAATACTAAGTTTATACACTTGAAATGGTTCATCTTGAGTGCTGTCTGTAGAAAACTTACCAAAACCTCAGCGTTTCCCTAAAGTTACATTTCAACTATGCAGACTTCAAGGACAGAGGGATGATATACTGTGACATGACAAGTATACCAGGATATGCCTGGAAGTGTTTATACACAAATGTGTCTATTATGTTCCAATCTGTTTCCTAGAAAAGCATACAGGAGTAGATGCATGTATGTACCTGTGTGTGTTTGTGTATTGGTGTATGTATACACGCACACTTATATGCACATAGAACATATCTAGAATGTAACACACAAAATTGTTGCTGATATTATGCCTAGGGGCTTTAAGTGAGGATTTTCTTTTCATTTTACATCCTTAAGTACTGTTTACATTTTTACCATGAATGTGTATTACTCTTTGAATTTGAAAAGATACAACAGCAGAAAAGAATAACTCTAAAAACTCAGCACGTTGCACAGTGCTTTGCACAAAGCAGGACTCAGTGAATGGAAGAATGTCATTCAAATCACCTCATCAGCCATTATATGGAAAGAGAGAAAAGTTCATAAAAAGAAAAGAAATAAAAGAGGACAGTAGTGAGATCATAGAAACAAATTGGAACAGTTTTCACTACTTCAAAAGAGAAAAAAAAATCCAAGCCACCAAAGGAAAAAGTTGACAAGTACCTTCCCCACCCAAGGGGTACCTGCTGTCAAGGATTCCAGTGTGTTTTACAAATACTGTCTGCATATCTGTGAGAGGATGTAAATAGGAGGATCTTTATAGCGCTGATCAGAGCTGTGCTATGCTCCAAACAGGGAAGGAGTGGAGCAGAGGGCAAACTCCTCCCCCAGACCTTGAGGGATGGATGCTTTGCCATAAAGATACATCTTAGTGAGGAGCCCAGGGACTCCATGGAAATTACAGTGAAATACTTCAGATAGGCAAGTTGCAGAGAACTGTGTTCCCTAATATGACAGTCTATGACAAAATGCTTTTCCACAATGGGCAGTAGAAATTAAAGATAAAATGCTCTACTAGGTCATCTTCTCTCTCCTAGATTGAACTTAATTCCATATAAATCCTAACACTTTCAGTGATGTATAAGGGGGATTTACACTAATAAATCCTAAATGGAAAACACAGACACATATCAGCAACACTGAATTCAGAGGAAAAAGAGTCACCTTTACTGATTCATCTTGACATATTCCAAGGTAATTATGAAATTTCCAGAATGTTTTTGAATTTATATTCTCGAGAAGAATCACAACTTTACTGAAAGTCTAATGGATGCAGCTATCAGGGTCAAGTTAAAACAAACAAACACATGTGCCATTCTCACTGCTCAATTTATTATGCTCACAGTAGGTAACCAAACTCCTGAACAAATACAAAGGAGAAGTAGAGAAAAATGGTCCTGCAGTAAGCACAGCAAATTTTTATTTTAACAAACACTCTTTGGCCTTGGTGGTTGGAATGAATGCAACGGTTTTCTTGCCACTAGAGAAGTCCATAGGACAGTTAATATACTCATTAAATGAACTTATCTATATTGGTCACTTTCACTTGATCTTAGCCAAAAGGCCGAGAAGCGATTATATTGGTCACTTTCAATTTTGTGATTTAGCAGTGAGGGGTCTTTAAAAATATGTTGTCTATTTATTTCATTTTACTTTTCTGACTCTATTTCCCTCCTTTCTATATAGCTATGTAAAATAATATACTTTTTATTTGAGGACAATCATTCACCAAATGGCCCCCAAAAAAGCACAATGGGAATCCGGGCTTCTCTTTATCGAAGAACCTTTTATCTCTTTCTTTCCCCCTTCTTCTCCTCCTTAGTTATTGTCAGGAGATCTGATTGCTAGACTTTGACTTGGCTGCACTACCAACTTCCTGTGTGGCCTGGGGAAGTGGACCCTCCTCTCTGGTTCACTCTTCCCACCTGTACAATGAGGAGCTGGATGAAATGCACTAAATTTGAATAGCAGTGACTCCCTTAAGTAAGTCTGAAGACACTCAGAAGTTCTTGATCCCATTATCAACTTGACAGAGTAGGAGACCCTTTCTAGTCAGAGCCCTTCCACAGGTAACAGGGCCCTCCTTGGGGAAGTAAAGCTTCTCTGAAAGGTAGGTGAGGGCCTTCTGTTCAAGCTCTGGATCGGTATCCCAGAAATCGGAGTTCACATATGTTGTGTCAGTATCCATGGCTCAGTGTACACTACTTTGTAGACACAGTCATCAATCATGAAGTATTATCACATGAGTATTTATCATTTAATACTTTGTGACCAACTGGCCCCTCTGGTGAAATAACTTATAACAATAGCTCAAGCAAGGGTCTCCATGATCCTGTTATTGGGCTGCTCAAAGCTACATTGCCATCTTCATGATGTCTATTTCAATCAGGGTTCTCCAGGGAAATGAAACCATATACTGTCTTAACACACACACACACACACACACACACACACACACACACACACACACACAATCTTAATATATTTTGTGCTGCTACAAGACTGCCACAGTCTGGGTAATTTATAAAGAACAGAAATTCATTTCTCACAGTTCTGGAGTCTGGGAAGTCCAAGATTTAGGCGCCATCAGCTTCAGTATGTGGTAATGGCCCAGCCCCACTTCCAAGATGACACCTTGACCAATGCATCCTCCAGAAGGGAAATATATGGTTGTTGACATGGCAGAAGAATGTAAAAACCAAGAGAGTCAGCAAAAGAAGGCCAAACTAGCACTCTTATGATGAACCCACTCCTGCAGAGGTAGCATTAATTCACTAAAGAGGCCAGAGACCACACAGAGGGGTAATTCTAATACTGTCATAGTGGCAATACTTCTAATACTGTCATAATGGCAATCAGATTTTAACATAGTTTTCAGAGAGAAAAGTATTCAAACCACAGTTTGTGTACATATGTGTGTATGAGATGTGTATGTGTGTGTTTTAAAATGTATTAATTAAACTAAAAGACACATTGCCATGAATCCCACTCAGAATACTTCCCTTTGTTTAGAACACACTTATCCCATAATGATTTCTTTTATTTATTTATTTTTATTAGTACATGTTTGTAGTACACAATATTTACATTCCTTGTAGGAGTTGATACATGTACATAACACATCTCAACTCCTTTTTTTTTATCCTCTATACCTCCCCTCCCTCTCCATCTCTTGATCCCTTTCCTCTCTGAGAAAGGTCTATCTCCCTACTTTCCATTATTTTTCTTTAATTTTACTTTCTATTTATACTTTTAGTTTTGCATACAAAAGAAACTCCTTTCCACTTTCTGAAGCAGTTCCAGAAGTCCTCTTTCTTTAGTTTCTTTACAAGTTTCAATAACAAAATGCAGTGAATGCTGCTGCCACATGCAATCCAACAGAAAGTCAGGCTCATAGAAACATTATTGTGTCCTTACCTATGTTATCCATGGATTCTGGCACCGTGCAACTTCTCACTCTCTTAAAGACAAAAAGATTATGAAAGGTAAACTACATTTTTAATCAATTCAGAACATTGAAACAACCATGACAGTGCAACAAGTTTGATCCCCAGTACCAAAAACAAACAAACAAAAACAACAATAACAAAAAAAAAACCAGAAAGCAGTATGAACAATGGGATAAGTATGTCTGAAGTGATGCACGGTAACATTTTTACTTAAGCTGTAACATTTTTATTTAAACATTTGTTATATATTTTGATCATACCTTCTGTGTATGCATAAAAATTATGGTTTGAATATATATAGAAAGGGGAGAATTTTAAGGAATTGGCTCATGTGATTATAGGGGCTGAAAAGTCTGAAACCTGTAACACAGGATGACAGGCTAAAAATCCAGGTAAAAACTAATATTTTTAGTCTTGAGTCCCAAGTCTACAGAGCAGGACAGGCAGCCCTGAAATGCAAGCAGGGTTTCTATGTTATAGTTTTGAATCTGAATTCCTTTTTATTTAGGAAACCTCAGTCTTTGACTTTAGGGTCTTCAACTGACTGAATGAAGCCCACTCACATTATGGAAGGTAATTCTGCTTTACTCAAAATCTGCTGACTTAAATGTTAATGTCCTCTAAGAACTACATTCGCAGCAACATCTAGTACAGGATTCCACCAAACAATTGGGTGCCATAGCCTAGCCAAACTGACAAATAAAATTCACTGTTACTGGGCCAGGGATTTAGCTCAGTGGTTCCACCACCTGCTTTGCAAGCACAAGGTCCCGAGTTCAATCCGAGTTGGTACAAAAAAAAAAAAAAAAAAAAAATTCACCATTACCATACCCAAATACTGACTGCTTTGCTGATGATCAAGGCCACTTCACCATTCTCTTTTGAAATGGGTTTTACCTTGGATAGCTGACACTGGCTTTATACCCTTTGCCTGGTCTTTAAATCCTGCCAGGTCTTTTAAAAATAGTCCCTCACATTGGATATTCTCTTCTACCCTTTCACTGCTTCCAGAATAGCTTAAGTCTAAGCTGTTAGACCAGCAACAGGAGGCACCAACACACAGAAGCCAGTAGCCCCTGTACTGTAGCTCAGGAAATGCCTCTCCACTCAGGAAATTCCTCTCCTTCCAACTGCCTCCTGCATCGGCTCTTCTGGCTCCCTAAAGCACTTGGCTTTGTAGACTGTCTCTCCAGTCTCATCCAGCTCTACACTAGCCCCATTACCTTCCTTCTGACTGTTACTGATCCCAATCTTTTCTTTCTGCCAACATCAGGAAAATTCCCTGTCTCTGAACCCCATCCATCTGGGAAAGAAGACCAGATAACCTATATAATGCATTACATTTCTTAAAACACTTTCATATCCACTACCCACTATCTGGTATTCTCTGATGCCACCTGAGAGCTCATAGACAAGCAAAGTCTCATTTGGCAGGTGAAGAAATTGAAGTTCAGAAGGAGTAATTCCTCAGTACAAAGGTACATAGCTAGCTAGTACATATTTTCTTGGTATGAACCTGGGGCTCTGAGTTCATTCATTGAGCCAGAAGCAACTTTATGAGAAGTTAAATACTACTGAGCTGAATACTATTAACAATCTGCTTGGATTCATATATAACTTTGCTTCCAAAATGATCACAACAGCATTTCTCACTTTTCACCTAATTATTTCCTGTTGGTTCAAAAATTCCCAACAGCATCCTGCTCCCTACCTTAGGCTGCAGAGATGAAAAAGTTCTTCTTCATTGTCCATCTCAGAATTTTAACTTGAATTTAGCCTACAAGGCCAATGTCTGCAAAGTGTTTGCAAAGCTGTTTGTTAACTGGTCTAGACTGAGTGAGAGTCTGGACATAAGAGCTTTCATCCTCAAAGATGGGCATATCGAGTTGTAGACTACAATTGGAACTTGGGTGGGTTGGAATAGACCAGCCTGGGGAGATACAGAACCAAGACAGCAGGCAGATGCACGATGGCTTTGAGGTGAGGGTCTTCAATCACAAGTGAGAAGTATAGGCTAACAATCTATGTTATAGAAGCCTAGACATGAGGGACAGACAACACTGCCACAGAGGAGAGGGAGCAGACCTTAAGAGGCTCTGGTAACAAGCAGCAGTAGGCAGAAGTCCATGCAATGCAGACAGCAACTTCAGTGAGGACCAACAGTAGCCAACAAAGGGCTATGCTGGGCAGCAGCAGACTCTGAGGCATCCTGGAGTCTCAGATACAATCCACACAGAGATGTCTCTACAGACAGGCAGATATGCATTTCCAGGGAGTTCTGGCAATGGCCAGGCCCAAACTCCAAGAATGTAAAGAGCAACAGAATTCTAGATCTCAATAGACAAAAACATTGAGTATGGAGCCAAGGCAGAGACCCAGTTCTCTGGTAAAACAGAATGGTAACAGACAAAGACAGTGAGCTCTGGATGTGGGAGGAAAGACAAGGTGCTGCTCACAGAAAGGTGGCTATTATCTATTTACTAGGACTAAAGCAAAGAGGCAAAGAGTTTAAGATGTACTTGCAGCTATGCTGCATAATGACCCCTCCGGTACCCTCTAAATCTCTCTTGATTACAGACAGGATGGAGCCCAAAGCCTTGATGGGTGTGGTGGAGTGGGGATTTGGGTACAATTTGGGGAGTCACATTCATGACTTCAGTTGTGAGGAAAAGGGAATATAAGAAGCATGAAACCAATGAGCCCATATGGGCCTTTTTGGAGTGGAGAAATCAGTTCCCTAACTGGTAGAAACCCGTCTTTTTGACATGACACCTCCTACTCTGATCCAGGGATCCTGGATGTGGATGTCTCTTTCTCATTCCACAGTAAGTAAGGGTGTCAGTAAGTACCCTCTAGAACCACAGCAGGAGGAAACATAGCCCTATTTCAGAATCCTTTGTTTGCTTGTTTTTGGTACCAGGGATCAAACTTGGGACCTCGAGGCAGGCAGCAGAATCACTGAGCTAAATCCCCGGCCCTCCTATTTCAGAATCTTGAGAGAGCTGAAGAGTTCAAACCCTAACATTAGAAAAGGGGTATATGGGGCCGGGGATTTAGCTCAGCGGTTCGGTGGCCTGCCTTGCAAGCGCAAGGACCTGAGTTCAATCCCCGGTACCAAAAAAAAAAAAAAAAAAAAGAAAAAAAAGGGGTATATGTATTGAGATCTGCCTCAGACCCACACAATGATTTAATCATAGAAGCTGGAATTTAGGTTTCCTGACTCCCAGCCCAAGGTTCCTTCCACTAAACTCCAAAGATGAATATTTCAACACCCACACACAGCTGAAGATGGCTTTATGACAGCCTAATTTCCATCCATACCTTGGGCAATCAAGCTGATTTATCTCATTTGGTCTCAAAACACACGTTTATAGATGTAGACCAGAAGTTAGGGAGACTTCAGCAGCCACTATACATAATAAATTAACTTTCTTTCCAAGACCTGACTTACTTTGTCATTTGAAAATAAAGGAAATAGCTATAATATGTACCTCACTAAAAGCGTGCTATGTTTAGCAGATTTCAGTAGCATGTTAATCTCAAAATTCCAATATTTTCCTGTTGCTATAGTTATAGCATCTGGCTAAATCAGAGTTCAGCAGCTGTGGGTAATGCTAACACTCATTCCAGCCAACTTTGGGCTTTATTTTTAATGCAGGACAAGAAAAACGAGAGCAAAATAGTCTCATTTTTCCCCACCCACTCTCAGAAGCAAAGCCCCTTAAATAGTCTAGGTTATACACATATTGACTCCTCATCTGACACCAATACAACTGTAGCCCTGAGTCCCAAGGTATTGAGTTAATGTGAGTAACTCCAGGTCTACAATGGAGTTGTGTTCAGGACATGCTAATATACCAAGGCTATCATATGTTCACCCAGACAAGTCTGATACCTAACATGCTGAATGCTTGTATGTCAATTCCTTTTGCAAATGTACTATTTGAGGATTATTTGACAGGAAAAAAATTAGGACTTTTAAATGGAGTCACTTGTTTGCACTATATTGCTCTCCAATTTTTGAATTTCCATGTGAACTTCTATTATTTAAGGCATTCTTTTACTCAGTTCTCCAGAGAAGTGTAGACAGATTTCTTAGGTCTACACATGGGGCCCATTAATGATCCTTTCTAAACTCTACACAGCCTATTTCCTTGACTCTAAAAGTGACTTGGTCTCTAAATGTTATTCTGAACATTTATGGGCCATCATAAATATACATCACAGAGCATTTCCAAAGTTGTGACAATAAAATCAATACAGTGTAAATTATGACATGGATTTGTAATGGCATGCTGTCTTACAGGATTCAAAAGTAGAGCTAGATCCATTTTTAAAAGGGCATTAGCAGGTTTTCTATGATCCCTTCTCTCAAATGTTAATTTTCTCTCTTCAAATGGGCAATGTTTTATGGGTACATACTTTCTAGAAAATGAGACCTATGTTTGAGTTTAAATGGACTCTTCAAAAATCATTCATACATACCTACTCAGGTTGTTCCATTTATATATACACAAATTGATACTAGCTTTGTACAGAAGATAGGAGCGCAGACGAGCTCATCACTGAAAGAAGCATATTGCACATACAAATGCTCCCTGATTTCTCTGACTGTTGGAGTTTGATGCACCCCTGATTGACCAATATATTCTATGCCCTACTGAAATGACTCTATGCCTATGCACTGTGCTCCCTTCATCTAAGCTTGCAGATACAATTATGATAAATGACTCTGTCTTAATGCTTGAAGACTTTCATTTGGTCATATGGCTGAGTCTCACATAACTCTGAACTTTTCAGAGACAGAATCAAGTTTGGGTCATCCTCACACAAAGCCAGTGGCTCATCTGAGTCAGTGTAGTTTCCACTTGGAAGCCCACAACTTGTTAGCAACCTAGACTCATGGGAGGTCTACTACTGTGACCTTTGGGGGACTAAATAAATGTGAAATTTAAAGATAGGTTTTGTTTTTTTAAATAAAAAATGTCCACTGAGCACCTGTGGAGTGTGC